TACACGATAAATATAGTCGAAATAATGTTTCAATCTTAAACTTAAGTATATTTTCCGGTTGGGAATTAAATCTATAGTTGGTGCATATGGTAGGTAAAAATTTAAAATATCCTGTAGTTTTCAAAAGCACTGGGGAATAAAAATTAAGGAAAAACGTGAATTTTTACACAAAATCAGTTAACTACAAATTATTATTATATATACTCAATATTTCATATGATAGTGACCTCATTCATTTCAGGAACACACTTTATATTAAAATCAACTATTAAAATTTTTTATATGCCTATGATTTATGAACAACAATATCATAATTTTAATTTTTATGCTGCTTCTAAAAAAAAAATATTATTTCGTTGAAAAAAATGGCGATATCCTCGTGTATATCTATCCTGCTTTACACTGATTACTACAGTTTTTTCKACCACAACCATCGTAAAAAAATGACGAGGTTAGATTTTATTGTGATTTAATAAATAAAATATAATTTAAAACTATAAATAATTAAAACTAATATTTATTTCGTTTTCGAATACAATGATCAATATTAGTTAAAAATTCTTCCACCGATATTTCATCAATGGTCATTCTAGCACATAAGTTTTATAAACGTTCATCGGTGTTACCAAACTTCCATTTTTTTTTTTCTGGTGATGGAATCCCTTCACCACCTAATTCTTGTAACGCTATTTCAGCTCTATCTACTCTCRAATCTTCACGCATTTTAGAAATTAACTTCCAGATGGTTATGTTAGGTATAGTTGGTGTGCGACCAAATGCGTATAAAACTGTTGTTCCAACTCTCGCAAATATTATTTATACGATGTTTACTATTTATCGTTCCCTCATGAACGTTCTATATTTCTAATGAAAATAACGGTTTATTTTWATTTTATATTCATACATATTTCTGACTTTCTATATGTACCATTGACGTATATGAAATCGAAATAATTAAGAACTTCTGTAGTTTCTACTGTACGAACCGTTTTTCAATAATTAATTTCGTCGTAAACTTTATTTATTGGAACAAATGTTAAACCGCCTAATATAGCAAAAAAAAAATACTTAATGTATTATCTGTTTTATATTTTGCTTTTAATTCAACTTCTGGTATCTTGCGATACATATTTTTCAACACTGAGCGGCATTTATAGTACCTAGCTTGTTCAAAATCTGAATGTGTAATTAGTGGATCTGGGTATGTCGATATGTTGGGAATTTAATATTTAATAATACAGATTAATTGTCTTATCTTAAGTACTTCTAATTTAAATAATTTTTTAATACTAATTTCCCTCCCTTTTTTTGTGGAAGAAAATGGACAGTGGAAGAAAACGGTATCTCGTTTTTGGAGGAAAATGGAACCGCCCGGGTTTTCTATCTACCTTACCTTTTATTTTTGTAGATTGTATAACAGGACTTTTTTCAGCATAATAATTTTCTGGTTGGACTTTTTTTTCSGGGATTCRATTTCATTATAATTAAATTCTACCAGTACGCACTAACTTATTCATAAACCGTTTTGCGAAATAACAACAATTTTATTACAATAATGAAAATAATTGTATGTTATTCACATTTATTAGTTTAGAGTATTTTACTATTTTCAGTTTTAGTAGGTATAATAAAAAATAATAGATATCCTGCATACATCGTAGGTGGGGATGGGAGTCTTCCCTCTTTCAACTGTTACTTGGGAATGTTTTACCATAATATATAACAGGTAACAATACTGATTGTATTTAAGTCATCTAAATTACTAAATATTGGTAATTGATAATCATCAGTAGCTTTTAAATGCGCCGGGAAAATCCAATGATAAATTAGAAATTTTTTTCAGAACACATCATGTGGACCGTCGTCGACGGACGAACGTTAATCTTAAATCACGGATGTAATGCAATTTTTAAAAGTTTAGTTAACTAAATTATTATCATATGATTTGTAGTATACTAATATGTTATTTTTACTAAAAATTTGTAAATATTTGAGATAATTCTTTCTTATTGTGTTATTTTTTCTGGGAATCCGTTCTCTTTATTTAAAATATATACGCATTAAAAAACTGCGGCTATATGAAAATCTGATGATCCCTATAGTATGAAATCCGAAGAGTGATTTTTCTAGAAAATATTCAATTTCTGAAAGAGTATTATCGTGTATAATGTAATATCAATATTAAATGTTACGATTCTACTGAACTCTTCTCCAAATGAATACAATAAAACTGTAAATTATTAAAGCTTTCAAGGAATATATTGATCTTATTAATAATGTTATAGACATAATGAACCGAGTTAATAGTTTTATATACGAATTATTTTTCACTTCTCCATATTTTAAGAATATTCAATCACATATTCATACAATAATCAAACTAATTACATAACTTGTATGTTTTTAATTACATTACAATCTCTAAAAAAAACAACACCAAATTAAATGTGTGTTAAATATAATGCGATTATTTAACTGAACACCCACATCGCATCATGTATTATATAATATATATTATATGATTCAAGTGTCAAACGTTAAAGAAATGATGGATTCGATTACGATGAGATCACTTTATGTAACGAATTTCATACTTCAGTCATTGAAGATAAATTAAATAACATAGCCTAAAATTATTTCCCAACAGCTTTTCCCCCTCTTTTTTAAAACTTCGAATGAATCGAATATTTTTTCAATATGCGTTGTTTGTTTTAATATATCATAATTTATAATGCATAATTATATATATATATATATATATTAGTATATTAGTATTGATGTTAATACTCATAATATCTTAGTTCCTAACTACCATTATACTACCTAAGTATCTGTTGATACTTGTTTGTTTTGCTGTATCTAAATCGTTATGTAACTTTTATAACGAGCAAATAATATATAATATACAGACCAACATTATAATAATAATTTATAATTACTATATATCACAGTGTCGTTATACTAATAATATTAAACAATTTAGATATAGAGCGGCCCACAG